ATAATCACTGTTATACATCACTTGGGTTATCGTTTTGATTGATAAGTTAAAATTTTGGTGTAATCATAAAATATGAGTGTGATAATCATATGATATGAGTGTGATACTTATGTGATAGAGGTGTGATATGAAGAAAAGATGTTAAATAATCATATGATATGAGTGTGATACTTATGTGATAGAGGTGTGATATGAAGAAAAGATTTTAAGCCATGGAGATTATCATGAACGAAGGAGAAGAAGATAACTACCAAGAAAAAAACGTGGAACGTGAAAAGATAATTATGGTTAATTAAAATAAAATAAAAATTATAAAAATTACTTAATTACATTATTGTCCTTATTAAATTATTTATATATAATAAAAGTTAATTTATTAATTAAAAAAKTWTGWGKTTATTRRGTTGTTCTCGCATTTTCGTAAATCACAGGGGTTCTCGTTTAAACCTCCACCTATATATATATATATTAAGAATTACAACTTTACACATTTGATCTCAAATGTATACAAAAGCTACATAATAAAAGCAGCTACTAAACTTTTCCACAAAATCTTTATACAAAGCTTGTATACATGATATGAACTCAATTACAAAAGATAACACATTATCCCAACATCCCATGCAAGCATTTATAATTTCTTCACAATTTCTCTTCCCTTTATTATCTGGTTGTGTCCGATCTGTAATGCACATTTTGAAATACAAATGAGATTAGACTTTGTTTGATATTACAGGGTGAACAATCACCAAAACACATTTATAAACTCATATTTGTATCAATAACAAATAAATAATATTTTAATAAAACATATCTCTTTTATCGCATTAAAAGGATAAGACATTATCCAATTATCGCATCAAATGGCCAAACAACTCATTTATCACATTATGATAAAACTCATCACATAAAATAGGTAAAATCATAATTTCATCGCATCACATGAATGAGACAACCCCATTTCCCACAACACACTAGTGTGAACACCCCATTTCATCGCATCATATAGGTGCGATAAAACCCAACTTCTATTGATGTGATAAGTTAACTTTGTCACATCAAAAAGGATATGACAACTATCCCACTTTGTGATGCGATAAAACCATCCATTGCATCAATAGGATGTGATAACTCAAGTCATCACTTCACACAAATACAACTCAAAGTCATCGCATCATAAGGATGCGATAATAGTTAACAACTTGATCAAAAACCCAGATTTTACATTATGTTGATTATGTCGCTTTTATCCTGGTATACATCTCTCCTTGATATGTCACTCTTATCCCAAAATACACCTCTCTTGATTATGTCACCCTTATTCCAAAATACATCTCTCTTTGATATGTCATCTTTATTCCAATCATTTGATATAATCGTATCAAAATACCAACTCATTCTAAAAATAGCATAAACTCATCAAAACTCCCACATAAAGAACCATACGGTTCTAATCTCAACACCATAAAAGGAAAGTTTATAAAATAAACTCACCTTATAATTCACAGAGATGAAGATTGAAACAACAACAAATCAGTTAATGAACCACATAATCAATTTCTTCTAATCTTTCTTCAATTTCCGTTTTCTTCCAGTCTCAGGAATACACACCAAAAGTCTTGCTTCTATTTCTCGGCTCCAAAACACACACATAAAATTTTCTTTTCTTTTTAGCCACTTACCATCCCAATGAGATAATGAAGTTATCTCATAATAATATGCATATACAAATCATAAGGCGGTGTAATTAAAAGCATTTAGGCATATTCACAAAAAAAAAACCCCCTCATGTTCCATCCTTTATCAAACCATAATCAATGCTTATATTAGAAAATAATAGATATATTTATGGATGATTATCATAATGCATTAATTATAATTGATATATATATACATATATGACTTGGGATCTTGTGAGACCAATGGTTTTTCGTGAGACCCGTAAGACCAATTTTTAACCCTTGGATTAGATTTATAATCGTCAGATCTGAACATTTATAAACGCCA